CTGATCCATTTGCATCTTGCGATAATGTATCACTCACTAACCGATTTGAGACAAACTGAGATGCAAATCGAGTCATGTATTGCCGCCATCTAGAGAGCATTGCAGAAGTCCTCCATACTCCTTCCTTACTATGGAGATAGATAGGATTTTTGTTGCCATCTGAAACCAAAGACGCAAACCTCTCAACCTGCTCCATTGAAGGTGCAGTTCCAACCTCCACTGGAAAATTTATAAACTCCACTTTCCCACAAGAAATAGCATCATCCATAGCTGCTTGATAAAAGTTATCCTTAATAGTCTCTGCCCTTAGATCAACAATGGTTTTAAATCCTCTATCAATCAACCACTTCAAACCTTCCTCTGTCACTTGACCACCCATCCAAAAAGCTATTTCACAATCTTTAGACTCTATCTCTTCTTTAGAGGTGGACAAACAAACAGGTTGCCAATTTGCAAACAACGTATGGCACGGATGGTCGTCCTTGCGAGGGAAACCCAAATCATAACAAGCATTTTTCAACCTTTGCAGCTTCCTCCAGACATGCAGGCTTCGATAATCGTCAGGTGTCAAATAGTTCTCAAGAGCAACATGTAAGCTCTCACAGCACCTCTTCATCTCACTCCTGAAAAGAGCAAGTGGCGGAAGCTTATCCTCCATCACACTTACATCCGCTGCACGAAAAGTATTCATAATTGAGACTCTTCCAGAAAGAACATCTTCTCTCCCTTTATTCAAAAGAGATAGTAAGCAACCGAGCACAGACACAATTTTATCCTCTACCAGTGGTTTTTCCTCAGGCGTGAAATCATATGAAACACTACATTCTCCAGTCACTGGATTGCATAAAGTGTCCATCAAAGCAGCATGTAGCCTTTCAGCTGCTCTAAAAATTCTACAATAAGCCTCAACTTCTGCAATATCCCCAGGAACTGGACCAATCCAGCGTAACTGTGAAACATCGTGCGACTGAACTGTCTTCTAATCCAAACAAAGCAGTGTCAGATAAGGCAAGAAATTCAATACTCCTCTTTAAAAAGTACACATCAAAGGATCAAGGCCAAAAACTAATGTATGCTGCTTCAAGAAGGAAGAAAAATGCAGTAATTTACCTCATATGAACTTGCTACCAATTACCATCATTAAAAAGATAAAAAAAGTCTTTGAGAAGAATAATTTTGAGCACTTAATATTATTCACGAGACTGCAGCGATTTGCTGGAAGACATAGTTTGATGTCACAATGGAAGCTAAAAAAAATCACTGCCTCCAAAATTCAGTGCGAGTTAAAAACATATTGATAGTGTGTATTAAAAACAAACACAATGGAAAAAAGAGAACAAAATCAGCTAACTCAGAGAAACCAAAGAATCACACGGATTTTTTACTAGTATTTTGAGGAATTGCACAAGCAAGGATCAAATCGACAAAACCCAGCCAGCCATCGGTCTTGTTTAAAACGTCCCAAAGGATGATTAAAACGTTATCAAGATCCAATTGTAATGTCTAAATTCTGTGCAAGCGAAACCCAAAATCATATAAAGAAAAACAATAGTAGTAAAAACAATTGAATAACATCAAACCAAGACTCTCAGCCGGTCATTTCGACGAACAATATTTGTTTAAAAAATACAGTAAACTTGAAACTGAAATGAAATGACAAAGAACCCAAGACAGGGGGAAGTGAAAGAGAATAAACCTGAGAATCCAAACCCAGATTTACAGAGAAAGACTTGGATAGCTCCGCCTTCACCACAAGCTTCAGCCTTTTCCTTACCACCACTTTCCGCTTCAACCCAAACCGAAAACCCTTCTCCTCCCCATCGATTATGAGAGGAGATAAAAATCCGGCCACCGGAGACAACCTACTCATGACGACGATGGTCACGTGGCACACACTGAGAGACATCCCACCATAGGGAAAAGTTTCTGTTTTTTCTTTCTTTTTGTTTTAATGTCGGAAACTATTTATTAGTATTTTTTTATATGGATAATGGGAGAATTATTTGTTGTGGACAGTAACGAAGAAGGAAAATGTTGGGGATTTTGGATTGCCTCTTGTTGTGGTTCTGCTGCTTTCTTGTTTCAATTAAAGATATATATATGTGTGTGTCTGTATGTTTGTGGATTAGGATATACATATATAATTAAAGTTGTGCATTTGATTGAACTAAAAATATCTAGAATTATTTAAGTTGATCAGTCTTATTTATAATTAAAATTTGATTTTAAATTCTTTTGAGTTAAGTAAAATTTATAAAATTTTAGGCGAGTTATTCGAGTTTTTGTTTAAACCTAATTGTAAATATTTATAATATTAAAATATTTGATTCTAATTTATCTATAACTATATACAATACATATATATTATTTTATACTTTTTTCATGTGTGATATAATATACTATAGAGTCAAGGGAATTGATTCAAATTTGAAAAATAATCTACTAAATACTAAAAATTGTATTATTCAAGTTCTATTTTATAGCTCAATTTGAATTTGAATTTTTTTTTAGTCAAGTCGAGTTTATGAATTATAATTCAAAGTCAATCCGAGTCAAGTTTTTTTCTGAATTGAGAAGAGTTTTGCTTACCCCTAATACAATATAAAATAATTTTTAGTTTTATACAGATTTATAATTATGGAATAAGTGAAAATAAACGACTTAATATAATTCTTTGGCTTTTTCGATTAATATGTTTTCATTTTATGCTGTTAATCTCAAATGTTTAGTTTTACTCGTCCGATAATTATAAATTTATATAAAACCAAAAATATTTTACAATATATAATTATATTCTAACCTTATATATATTATTTTTAAATTTCTGATTTGAGGTCCCCAGCTATTGAAAATATTTTTCTCCTTTTTTTTCAAATCGTATAACGAATTATACATTTATATTAATTTTAATTTCCGATTAATTTAAATTTTAATATATATTTAATTTTCAGGTGGTCTGTATACGGGTTGATCCTGTTTTGATGGTAGATGATATTGTGGGTTGTTCTCGGGAGATTTATAGATAGGACTAGGTTATTTCACATAGTCGGATGAGTCGTAGGAATCGAGTGAGGGAATGCTAACAAGCTTGCAAGAGACATTACCTAGCAGTGTCTGGATGAGATTGTTCTCCTTTTACAATGGTAGAAAAACGTTTTGACAGGTGTCAAAAATTCATAGCTTACCGTGTGGACCAATACCAACTGACCCAATAGATCTACTTTTAGTAATAGATGAATACTATTGGAACCCATAAGCTAGGTGAAAGTGAACTAAATAAGGCCTCAACAACAAAAATAAAATAATTTCTCATGTATCCATTAGAATTTGGTCAATAATTTTATTAATTTGAGTTAACCTGACCCTTTTTAAATTTAATTACAAAATTATAAAATTTTAAAATATTTTAAAAGAAAGATGAAAAGATTTACTGGCATGAATAAATATATTACAACTAGTTAGCTAGATTGAGAAATATTTGCGTTAATGGTTCATAAAAATAAAATGGTCCATTTCAGTCCTACCTAATTAAAAATTTGGACCATGATTTAAGAGATTATAAGCTATAATTGCAGCTATCTCCATAAGTTATAAGTTAACCTTCATTTCGCTCCTTGTGCCATTTATAGAAAATGCTTAATCTCAGTAAGAAAATACAATAGAAAATCAATCTCACTTATCGGTATGTTCACTTAACTGGGTAGTTAGAGGTTGTTGGGCAGTTAAAAGTCTGTCACTAGTTAGTTTTTCAACAGTTTTCTCTTTTTTCCACTTCCTCTATTTGCTTCAACTTTCTCATTCTTCAATCTTTTCTTGTCATTGTAGTTCTAGAAGGTTATGCTTAACAAGTTTCCCTAACGAAATTAAGATGATTGAGGCATGGAAATAGCTTAACACATTTTCATTTTTGCTCAGCTATAAGAATTTTTAATTAAAAATATAGTGCCAAGGAATGCTAGATTAATGACAAACGTTGGTTGAAGGTCACTGAGATCAGTGTATTCAAATCTAATTTTCAAAGTGTACATCGGACAACTTGAAGCCCCACGCGAACATATTGAGCTTGAGGAAGAACAAGTAAACCTCATATTTCAAGGGATATCGTTAAAGCCAACTTTTCTTTTTGCTACAATTGCTAATATTTTGTTTTAGATTATTTTGCATATATATATATATATATATATATATATATATATATATATATATATATATATATATATATATATATATATATATATATTAAATTATTAAAACAAATCTAATAAATAAATTATATTTTATATATAATATAATTATAATTAATGCAAGATTTAAAAATTAAAAATGAGTTTAATATTTTTTATATTTTTAAATTAAATTATTTTTTTCTCTTTTTCATTTTTTAAATGATTATAAATTTAAAAGTAAATGAGAAATAATTCTAAAGGATTTTTGAAGACAAAAAGTTAAGATTCAAATTATATATTTGTTTTATGATTTAAGTTGTTTTTGTTACTTTAGATTCTCTAAACGATTTTTTTATATAATTTTATTTTTTTAAATAATTCATAAATAATCATATAAAACAATTGTGAAAAAGAAAAAATTAATTTAATTTAAAATATATATATTAAATTCTTTTTTATTTTTAAATATTGCCTTAACTATACTTTAATGTGTATAAAATATAATTTTTTATTAGATTTGTCTCAATATGTGTGTGTTTGTGTGTGTGTGTGTGTGTGTGTGTGAGAGAGAGAGAGAGAGAGAGAGAGAGAGAGAGAGAGAGAGGAGAGGGAGGGAGAGGGAGAGGGAGAGGGGGGAGAGAGAGAGAGAGTCCCAATGGTTGAGGACTGCCTAAGAAATGACTTTGCTCATAAATTGTGAACAGTCGAGTAGTTACCCGTGTAGTTTACCCAATAAATGACAGTTTAAATTGCTTCAAACAATATCGGAATATCCCAAATAATTCGTTTCATTTCCACGGAGATATCAATTCTAGACCTGCAAACAAATGCAAACAGGCACTAAAGTTATGAAAACTTGAAACGCATTGACTAAATTATAGTACCAGCGGATGCATACAATGAAGTTTACCCCATTGTGCAGCATTACAAGAGAATAACCATTCTTACGAAAGCATTAATCGAGTTTCTAACCCATTCTTTTAAGTGACAACTCGAGTTGGACAATTTCTTGTAGCTATTTCTTATAACTAAAGGGTGTTTGATTCAGTTACACATCGAATGGTGAAGGCATGACCGAAACCTTTTGGAGGAGAATGAAAACAAAACAGAAGTGCAAAAGTTTTCTTTCTTTTACGTGTGACACAACCAATTGTCACAACATTTATGATGAAAATAAGAGAATTTACCAACACAAATTGCTCTGTACTCTTATTTCCATGTGATAATCAGGTATTTGAATTCCATATGTCCAGCACCATCAACAAGTAAAAAGCATAATTCTTCAATCATATAAAGGCTCCTTAATAAGGAGGTTCATTTTCTCCTGAAGAAATTTAAGTACATCCTCTCTCCCTTCTTTTACAAGCAATTGCCTTAGCCTCCAAAATGTTGAGCCCGAGGGCTGAATGCCTTTTTCCAACATCTCTTCTAGTAGGACACAAGCCTTAGCAGCATTTCCCTTGTCACATAATCCATTTATGAGAACTGAATATGTATGCATGCTTGGGATAAACCGCTTCAATTTCATGAACTTCCACACTTTAAATGCCATTTCTAACTCATCTCTCTCACAGAACATCTTTATCATTATTGTATATGTGTCTGCATCTGGTTCACATTCTTTAATCATCCTGCGGAACACCTTAAAAGCTTCATCGGTCTCTCCGCAGCCTATCAAGCTGTTAAGAATGATATTGCAAGTCCTAGCATTTGGTTCCACGCCCTTAGAATCCATCTCATTTAAGACCCTATACACATTCTTTAGTTTGTTTACTTTACAAAAAGCACCAATCAGAGCATTATACACAACCACATCAGCCTTGATTCCATTTCTTTCCATCCCTAAGAATACATCAATGGCATCTTCAATTCTGTTTTCTATCCCATAAGTATGGACCAAAACACTATATATAAATAAGGTCGGTCTGCAACCATTGGAATCCATTTCCCTAACAATTGCAATTGCTTCATCCACGCTGCCTGCTTTGCAGAGAACATCAACCATTATACCATAGGTCACAATATCTGGGACACAACCCATATCAATCATCTCTCTGTAGATCTCCCTAGCCTTGGGCAAATTTGGAGCCCTGCCCCATCCTTCGAGCAAAATACTATAAGTTTTTGTGTCCGGAACAAATCGCTCTTTCTTTTCATCGAAAATCTCCTGTGCTTTCCTCACATTCTTAGTCTTACATAAAGTACTTAGTAAGGCATTGAAAGCTGCTAAGTTCGGCAGCACGCCATACTTCTCCATGACATTAAAAGTATAAATTGCTTCCTCCACTTTCTGAACCCTTGCATACTTTCTTATAATAATACAAAACGTCTCGACGTTCAACATGCTCTTGCTCTTCATCGCATTCACAAGATTCCACATGATTTGATACTGCCTAATCTTAGCCAAAGATCCAATCATGGTATGATAACCCCTAACACTATGCATATAATTTCGCTGCTTCTCTGCCCATTCAAAGAATCTATAAGCCAATATGCCAGCATTCTCAAACCGCTTAAGAACATCCTCCACTATTTCAGGCGAAACCCTTAGCCCACTTTGATCAAGAGCAGTATCAAGCACCACTGGTGAAGAAGAAGACACGATTTTACAAATTTTTTTGCTTGTAACTAAAACATCCCTAGTTGATTCGCTGGAACAATATCTTCTCACCAATGTAATCCATCCCAACATTTCATGAGAGTTACAAACTCTGACCATTTTCATTTTTGAACTTCAAACACGAATCAGAATTCACCTTAAAAACAAGAAACAAAACGCAGACATTACAGAACAAGCCAAAGCCACACTGCATGTGCACAGAGATGACTTTTGATTCTTCTTTCAAGGGTTAGTGATAATTGGAGTGTAGAAAATAAAGACAGTGACTTATATTAATTTTTAATATAAGTTAACGCAAGTATTTTTTTCCATTTCTTTTTTTTTCCTTAACAAAAGATGAATTTAAGATAAAAAGCCGAGAATCGTTGATTGTATTAAGCGATAAAGGGAGTGTTGTTATCACTAAAAGTCCTAGTTCGAGCAGATGTTTCTCTGTAAGATGTGTGTATTGTAATTATCTCGTATTATTTTTAAAAAAATAAAAGGGTGACCAACCTGCTCATCAGATAGCCTCTGGTTCTCTCTGCCTGATCCGCAATATGAGAGTCAAAAAGATGATAATAATCTCGAACAACATAGTAGTTGTCTTCTTAAAAGACTCACGTTCTCCTGAAACAAAAAAAAATGAATGAAGGAATCGAAAGAGATAGCAGCAACACAAACATAAAACCAAATAGCTGGCTGGAAATTGGGAATACTGAAAGAAAAAAAAGCCAAAAGGGAACCTTGCGAGATGCGGCTAGCGGCGTTTGCCAATTAAAATGTTACCGTTGAAGGCCAGAGAAAGGAGAAAAAGATGAAGGGTTGTTGGTTTTGCACAGTCGATGGTTTTGGGGTTAGAAACGGGTGAAATTAAGTTTAAGGGTAAAATACAATCAGTGTCACTAATTATGGGTTTCGTAACAAATATTGTAACTCTTTTAAAAAAACATTATAATTTACTCACTGAATTAAAATATTGTTATAAACAAGTCATCGACTATTAAAATTGAAATATTCATCAATGTGAGCTTGATATTTGTAGACACTCATTTTCGTCCATTTTTTACATACACGTCCATATATTATATAGTTTGCAAATGATTTTTGAAAAAATATATATAATATATAGTTTGAAAACATTTATATATTATATAATTTTTTTTAAAAATATTTTGAAAATAAATATAATATATAGTTTTTTAAACCTTTTTAAAAATATATATATTATATATTTTTAAAACATTTTGAAAAATATGTAGTTTTTAAAAACATTTTGAAAACATATATTATATAGTTTTGAATCATTTTGAAAACTTATATAATATATAGTTTTAAAAACATTTTTTAAAACTATATAATTTTGAAAATATTTTTAAAAAATATATAATATATATAATTTTTAAAATACTTTTGAAAATATATATTATATAGATTTTTGGAAAATAATTTTTTATATATATATTATTTGTTTATTTACCTTTTTTTATTTGTTATTATTATTATTATTAATTTCATTTTTTATTTTTGTTTTTTAGGGTCAAAGTCCAAGATCTGTTTTGGGTCCAATGACAGTAACAGTCCAACCAGAACGGGCCTGAACCAGCCCAGGGTTTGCAAAACCCTAACATTTCATTATCTCAGTCAACAGGCGCCGCACAAGGGAACCCAATGGTCAAATAGCGAACCGGTCGGCCAGGAAAACCGGGACTGCACCATCCCGGGATTCCCGGCAATGTGAAAGATGTTAGGATCAAAGAATACGGGAACAACCCTGTTATCACCGGAGCAGACCATCATTAGGGTGGCTATAAATACCCCACCACGGTGAATCGGGGGGAGGACTCGAAACAGAACTGAGTACACGGAAGGGGAATCACAGAACCGAGGGCATCATCGAGAACCCACACACGGAACCAGCGAGCCACAAAATACAACAGAGTATCAACAAGCCAAACATCAACAGTACATAAAAAACCAGCCAACTTCGAACAACACAGTAAGCAGGAACCTAAAGGCTGAAGCCCCACAGCGAGAAATCAAGAACAAACACACAATTAAGGCATCACCGGGCGTCGGGAAACGGACGGTCTCGCGAAAAAAGGTAAAGAACCCGAAGTTGATTTCCTAGATCTACGTCGGAGAAGGCGTTTGTGGGGGATTTGGGGTACAATTTTGGTTTAAGGGCATTGAGACGAGTGTTTGGGGTGAGTTTTGATTATTCGGCGGCCGGACCGACGGTCTGGCTGGTGGAGGAGTCATCGGCGGTGGACGAGTTTCCACCGAATTAGAGAGAGAAGAGAGAGTGTTTTTTCTCTCATTTTGTAGAGTGAGATTGAAAAGAGAGGAAATGAAGGTTGAGGCTCAAATTGAGCCCTTTAATCTCTATTTAAGTCCTTCCTAAAATGACGTCGTTTTGGGGAGAGACCATTGTGCAATTTTTGGGAGCAGATAAACCTCCTCTTCGATCCTTAGGTTTTGTACAATTTATATTTTCATCATTGAATCTAATTTTCAGCGTTCCAATTGGGACTCCGAGTTTAATATGTTTGCAGTTTAGTCTCCAATTCATGTTTTATTCGAAATGGCCAGTTTTTTTTACAGATTTCAATTTGCCACTATTTTTTTTTCCTTTTTTCTGATTATGCCATTGTCTGTTAAAACTTTACATATTTATCCTTTTTACTTATTTTTAATTTCTTTGTTAATATTTTTTAACGTTTTTTCATTTTCATTTTTTCCAATATTTAATATTTTTATTTTTTTGTTATTCTTTTTATTAAATTGTATTTTCTATGTTTTTATCTTCTTTTTTTTTCTCTCTTTTTAATTTTATTTAAATTTTTTAACTCTTTTTTCTTTGTTTACTTTTTTCTTCTTTTGATTCATTATTTTCATTTCTTTCTATGATTTATTTAATATTTAATATTTTATTATTATTATTTTTATCTAACGTTTTCATTTTTTAGAAAAATTCTAACAAATCAAAGGTTAATTTGAATCGGGTCTGTTAAATTTTAATTTAAAATTTGAATTTTCGCAACCAAGACAACCAACAAATTAATTGGTATCGAAAGGGCGGTTCAAGGGTGCTAATCCTTCCTTGATTGTAGCCGACTCCCGAACTCGACACATTTCTAGTAAAGCGCATATCAGGTAAGATGATGTCCGACCTACCTAAATGTCATTTTAAAGTGATCAGTGGCGACTCTAACCCAATCAATTCAAGTCGAAGCCCAATTTTGGGGCCCAACCGAAAGACGGTTTCGACAGCTTGGCGAGTCTTTTGGGGACAAGTAAGTGAGTCAGGCCGAAATTAATTTTCGGTTGTCTTTTATGCGAAAATGGTAAATTTAAATTTAAATTTATTTATTCGATTCCAATTATTTATCTTTGATTATTTTTCAAATAAATAGTTGTACTGACGTTTTTAATGATTTCATATTTGTTTTCAAAATTGTCATCTCAGGCTTTATACCTGAGCTCCGAACCCTATTTAAGTGGGGGTGAAAGCGACGCCTTCGTGTGAATTTATTCACCGTGCGGGCATAAGGGAATGTATCATCTCGAGTTTAACTTAGTCCACACAAGCTTGTAATGGGCTTAGAATTAAGGGTCTAGCAATCCCAAGGGGGTACCAGCAAGGAGAACTCGAGTACCCTTTTAGAACCTAAACCGGGAGAGTACAGGGAATTAGAGCCCACCCCAAAACCTCATTGCAAACCCTAGGCTGCTTTGATTTCATTTCCTGATTTACTTTCTGTTCAAAGCATGCGAACTAGATAAATATACGGTTTAGGATTTGTTTGAAATTAGTATGCGGGATAGAGATCATGCCTGGGTAGGAACAATAAGCATGTGGGGTAGATATCATCTGGGGTATGATTTTTCATTTTTATTATTATTTTGATTTACCTCACTAACTCTTTTTATTTTTTTTGTTCTCTTTATTTTGTTTTCATCATTTGCATCATTTAAAATGAAGTGTTGATCCACCAAAAACGTGTTTGTTAAACATGAATAGTTTGCATTAATGGACAAAGGGGTTATAATACAAAGAGATAAAAAGCTCAAAAGTCCAGTCGTGGTCAAAGAATACTCAGAGGCAAAGGTTGCAGGGGCAAGACGAGGAAAATGTTGATGACCCAGACGCTCCTTTTGAAAACTACGACAACAAGATGGTGAAACCCTAGTTAAGCTGGAGACCATTATTGACGAATTCCAGAAATAAGTCGATATGCTTCGGATGAAGTGCTCCAATGGCGCTTTCGTTTGGATCAAGCTCGATATAGAGTGAAAGTCAGAGATGCAGTCCTTCGAGACCCATTTTGGGGTAAGCAGCCCATCATCTGCACAAGTTTAGCCAAAGGAGCCGGAATGGTTCGACAGGATATTCAACCAGTGAAAAAGGTAGAAGACGAATCAACTTGTCAGAAGCTGTGTGGGATCTATACCATTAAAAAGTTTTTTGTCTCTTCAAACGTAACACTTTTGTCCCCAATAAGGATTATTCAGAATAACAGACACATTTTTTGGATCAATGCCTCAGACATTTCATGCATCATGCATTAGACATTTTGCATTTTGTTATTTTCTTTGCATTTTGTTATTTTCTTTGCATTCACATTAACTAACGGAAACATGTCTCATCGGAAAGGAACAAATACTAGAGATACAACCTCAAGCTCAGGACACGCCCCATCCGTAGAATACCCGTCTGAAAAAGAAGAAGATGGAAGCAAGAATAGAGAAAATCGAGGAGAACATGGCAAAAATGCAGAAAGAACTTGAAGACAAGATAAACCAGAGTAGTTTGAGTACTCTGAATACAATTATGAAGAACCAATAGTCTTTAGTTGATCAGATCGTTGCCAAGTTAGTTGGCTTACAACAGACTAGTGCGCCTGGGGCATGTTCACCGGAAGGGGTAAATATACCACCTACCCCACAAGTAGTTATCTCACCTGAAATCTTACCGGAACTTCGAGGGGACTCATATGCTACAAAAGCGAAGCCCTCAGCCTCTGTATTTAACACTGAGATCAATCTGGGTTATTAACATATCCTAGATTCAGACAAAGTGGACAAATCAAAGAAGATGGAGGAGAAAACCAAGCAATTAGAGGACCAGATGAAGGTAGTTAAAGGAGACCATGACTACCATGGAATTGATGCTGCGGAACTCAGTCTAGACCCAGACTTAGTTCTTCCTCCAAAGTTCAAGTCCCCATAATTCAAGAAGTTTGACGGGAACAGTTGCCCATCCACTCACATAATCATGTTCTGTCGAAAAATGACAAGATATGTGGAAAATAACCAACTCCTGATCCACAGCTTCCAGGAGAGTCTATCGGGCTCAACAATCCGGTGGTACAACCAACTAAGTCGATCCCATATCAAGACCTGGAAGGATCTGGCCAAGTCATTTCTGGAACAATACAAGCATGTCAATGACAAAAGGCCAGATCGAGTTATGCTACAAAGCTTGGAAAAAAAGCATAACGAGAGTTTCAGGCAATACGCATAAAAATGGAGGGATTTGGT